TTCTAAATGGTCCCTCCTAACATTTCTACCAGACCTAAAGGGTCTGGTATTGTTTGGGAGGGGGAACTGCACACGTTAAGATAATTTATTTTAGAAATGTCAGTTTTGCTGCAGCAGGTTCTATACGTCGTACATATCCACAACTTCACAGGCAGGTTAAGGGGACCTCCCAGGCACAAAGGAAGGCATTTGAAGGAATTTTTCATTTTTATTCTTACCTTTTAAGTGATGTTGAAATCACTACTCCTTTAAAAACTGTATTTTTTGTTTTGCTTTTTTGTCAATGATTCCTGTCCACCAGGGCAGTACCCGGACCCCCATACACCTTTTATGGCCAATAACTTGCATATATGCCCTGTTAAAGGGGACATTCATTTTCAAATGTTCGACCCCCATTGACATGCATTAGGTTTGAGTTCGTATGCGAACTTTTCGGACGTTTGAATGTCCGAATACGGACCGAACACGGGGTGTTCGGCCCATCACTACTCCTTACCGGCTCGCCGGTGTTCTTGCAGCCGATGTTCTTTTTGTCCGAATTGATTATTATCATTTTCTTCCATCTGGCCCCCTGGAGAGTGTTGGTCTACATATGATTCTACACATAGAAGCCTGTTCTCTTATACTGCTTATTCTTTCACTATGTCTGCCCTGAAGAAGGAACCCTGCGTGGTTCTGAAATGTTGCCTATTTGATACAAGTGACGTGTTGTTGCAATAAAAAGAAAATTTGGATTTATTGCATCCCATGAGTGCTGGTGATCTTCATTGCTGTTCATCTGATATACGCACAGCGCCATCTGTGGACATCACTCCAAGCACCACCATTACTTTTTTGTTGTATGGTGTGCAGGCAATATCTTTGTTTGTTTTTTCTTCCCATGTTGAGGGCATGTGGCCTGGTATGGTGCAGGAGGTGCTCGCTTGCCCCCTCCTTTCCTGCCCTACCAGGCTGCTGCTCGGATCAAGGGTCTGGTAAGAGATTTTATTGGGGTCCCCCCTAAAATTCCTACCAGACTAAAGGATCTGGTATGAATTGGAGGGGGAGGCTGCACACTGTTTTTGTTTAAATATTGTTTATGTGGATTGTGTACAGTGAAATACTTTTGTGTTTTCTGTGACAGCTGTCAGGTTCTTTGTTTACATTCAGGATGCAGGTCCCAAATGTCAGCAAAGAAGTAGAGAGTTGTTACAGAATGACACATACACACAGTTCTCAGCTTCTTTCTTTGTTCACATTTTGTAACAACTTTCTGATACTTTGTTGACATTCAGGATGTGAATCTCGAATGTCAGCAAAGAGTCAGAGACCCTGGAGAGCCGCCTCTTTTTTCCTTTCTGATTGCTATTCGGGAAACATAGTAGTTTGTAGTCGTTGTTTTTGTCATTAACAAATTCGGATGCATCCGAATGTCCGTATTTACAGAAATTCATACGAATGTTAATTCGGAACAAAATGAATAGCACATGTCTACTAACAACCTCCATTTACATAGTCTTACCTCCCCTTCCCCTTTACAACCATTCTGCAGAGTGTCTCAACATAACTTTGCAGTTCAATAGGCAACATGGTTAGACCTTCTGTACTCAGTAATCAGCTCTCAGTAACAGACCTGGTCAAATGCACCCCTTCTGTTCCTCTGGAAAACAAGTCTATATGAGCACACTTGAGGGGTGTGATTTACTCTTTCTTGGGCTTTAGGCATTGGATACCCTAAATATCTGCCTTGATTTTTATAGTAACCCATTATAAGGCCCGGTTCACACCTGGGCGTTTTGTAGCGCGTTCCTACGCTCTGCAAAATGCTCAAACACCGAAAATACCATTATTTGCTATGGGCATGGTTCACACCTGGGCTTATTACAGGCCGTATGAACGCGCTACAAAACGCCCTACGCCCAAAGAAGTACAGGAGCTTCTTCGGGGCGTTTTTGACCGCAAATCGCGCGAAAAACGCACAACATGAAACGCGCGACAAACGCACATATTCGATACGCCTAGGTATGAACCCAGCCTAATGAATGATGAGCAATGCTGAATTCTGTGTCAAGTGGTTACTAGTGACAAGGAAACTGTTTTTATTACTGTGTGATGTGTCACCAAATCATCTAGGAGCACTAGATTATGCTTCTGCAAAGTACCTGTAGGCATTTTTTTCCCTGGAAGGTTAAAAAATACTACTGAGTATGCATATGCTTTAGAGTTCTGTGATGGGTGCTATATATCAAAATGCTGACCGATACACCGATCCCTGAAGCCTGTCTCCTCCTCTGCTGCAGAAATGCAATGTAACTCGGCAACCTCACGTCCTATACACTGTGTATAGAGCATGATGACGCAAGGATCCTTAGAGTGCTGCAGTGGAGGAGGAGAGAGGCTACAGGAACCGGTCTAAGACCAATTTGGCTCAGAGGATCGTATGAGTATATATCGGGATCGGGTGAGTATTTAATTTTTTTTTTTTTACCACCTAGACAAAAATGAGCGCTTAACCCTTCCAGTAGGAACACTTTTGCCCAGAGTACTAATTTAATTTGATGTTTGGTTTGCTATTTGGTACCTGTGCAGCAACAGCAACAGTTCTTTGTTTCTTCTGCACAGTCCCTCTAGTACATTAGACCCAAAGCGGCAAATCCCCAAAATTAAATTCCTGGAATTTCTGCTAGTAAACTATATTTGAATTTCAAACAGTATTTTATTATTTATAGCTAGATAACATAAAGCACATGTTTGATTTCAGCAGTAATCTTTACACAGGTATGAAGATCTGAGAACTTTGAAATTAAGTCCTGCATGGACTTTGACAGCCATCATCAACTGTCCACAGAGTTCTGTTCATCTGTTATTCAATGTTTTTTCAGAACACTTCAGAAAACAGCATAGGTCCATATATTGAAAAATATGTGCTGATTTTCTGATGTGCCGTGCAGAAACCTTTGTTCATTGTAGGGATTACTGAAGGTCTGCTCACTTCCAATAGTGGCTTTTAAAGTCAGCACAGGAAGATGAAAGTCTAGGATTTTCATGCTTGCGAAAGGGACCTTTAAGGACCTTTATGGTTTTCAAATGGTGGGTGGCAACCCAAAAGTCGGTCGCAACCCCGTGTTCAGTGGGTCGCTGCGTGCCTTCCACTGCGCTAGGCACTTCAGCCTTCCACTAGTGCAGCACTGTCAGTTCATTAAAAAAAATGCTGCCCAACACCGAGTGTCAGCTTGAGGTGGGGTGGGCTTGGGGTATGGCCTCGACGGAGCTCCATCCATATGTGCATTGCTTACAGCTCCCTCGTGTGCCCTGTAAAGGTGCCAGGGCCAGAGTGACCCACATTCTGGCTCCCAGCACCTTTACAGGGCATGCAAGGGAGTTGTACAAGCAATGCACATATGGATGGAGCTCCCTCAAGGCCATTGGGTCACAGCACAGCAGCTAACACTGGATCCCAGGCTGAAGATCCACTCCAGTTTTCGTATGGTAAGGAGACTGGGTGGATCTTAAAAAACATTTTAAAAAATTTAGAACGTGTATGTGTGTGTGAGATTGTCTGTCTGTGGTTGTGTGCGTCTGTCAGTTTTTTTAAAGGGCCTGTTCACACTAATACAGTGCGTTAATCGCACAGACCTGTGCGATTAATGCACTGTACCATGCAATCACACTTACCCCCTGCTCTGGTGTGGGAGGTGCATTGCCATTCATTTGAATGGCACCCCAAACGCACCTTCCACCTACAGTTTGATTGCTTGCACTGGAACACGCAGTACCGCAATGCCATGCGTTCTGGGGCGATGCGACTTGGGTCGCAACTTAATGACCAAGGATAAATGTGGGTCTTGCAGTTAAACAGGTTGAGAACCACTGCTTAAAGGAATAATTTATTGCCAAGCCAGTTCACCCATGTCCACTCAAACACCAACAGGACTATTCACAAAAGGGTAAAGAGTTTGGAGAAGGCAGGGGAAGTGAAACATGTAGGACAGCATAGCTGAACTGGAAAGTGAGCTGAATTGGAGAATTTTTCCAAATCAGCTACTTTGGCCCAGATTGTTCAATTCTCCTGCCTTCCCCAAACCCTTCACCCTTCAGTGAATAGTCCTGCAAAACTTCAGGTTTTACCGTTTCCTGAAAGTTAATGTAGTCAAAATCTTCTGTTACGTTATGGATAGAGTAGGGGACTTTTTTTTCTTTTCTTTGCTGTTTGTGTCCTGTCAGGGAGACTTCCCATTACTTCCTGTCTTACACAGTAGGAAATAGATGATCGGTTCAAAGCGAGGATATATCCAATCTCATTCATTGTCATCAGAATAGGTTTTCCCATTGGTAGATTTTCTCCCACCTCCTGTTTTTGTGACAACTTGAACACTTGAAATTTTCTATCACTTTTTCTAACAAAAATAATAGTGACCAGGACCTATAGTGAGATTAAATCTATCCAACGGGGACACAGGCAGCAATAAAAAGCTGACAGGAGTTCTAAACCTTCCACACTCTATTCAAAACTAAATTAAAACTTTATAGCTTTACATACACTTTGAGCCAATTGTATATTTTATCTTAGACATGGATACTAAATCATTATTAAAATATTCTTTCTGTTTTGACCTGATAAGTACTAAAAGTACTTTCAAAGAAAATGCATGTCAAGACATTACACACATGTGCCCAGAACTTTAGATCTATTATCTAGTGATAATATTTCCAACCACCTTTTCTTTGGTAGATGCAGGAAAGTGAAAATAGAAGTGATACACCTTATAGGCTAAATAAATATGTTTTTAGCTTAGGAGAATAATTAGTTCTGTTATAAACACATGTGTCACCTTGTATTGATACAATTTAATTAGTCATGTTCACAACCTGCATGAACAGGATCTTACATGGGTTTATTTCTGGATTCACTGTAGATGCATGTGAGAAAATTGAGACTGTTAATGCACCGCATCCTATAAAATTCCCACTCTGCATACATACAGCTCCCTGTACTAATGCCACTTCTTCCTCGCATGCAGGGTGGGGGCCACTGTACGTTATGTCAACGCGTAGGATGCTGTGCTTCTGCTGGTGAGTGATTTCTCCCTAGCCCACATACATGCCCTCTCTCCTACTTCTTTGCACTGCCACTTTCTGCATGCTAGTATCGATAATTAGTCCCAAAAACAGTTTCCTCTACATTTGTTAAAATACCTTGAGTCATGTAAACATGTCATATTATTATAGTACTTAACTCATTCCAACAAACCCCCTTTTTCAATAAATGTATCCTTATTAACACCTGCATATCTTTATTACTTGAATTCTAACATGGTCCTCTCTTTTCTAATACTTCTTTCCTTCTCTTTCATTCCCATTACCCTATTTTATCCCTGTCTTTCTTGCGTGTTTGTTTCTCCAATGGTATCCTTACACCTTCCTTGCCACATTTCTCAGTATGATTTACACACTTGTCACTTTTTGAATTTCGCCTGTTTGACTCGGAATTAAGGACACAGAGGAAAGAAACTTAGAGAGATGGAAATCCTTGCTGATGGAAAAGTGTTGAAGGACATCTCTCCCTCCTGAATGCCTGTTAGTGGAATAACTCTCTCTAACTCTTCTTTCTACCACAATTCTTTCACTCCCTCTCTCTCTGCTTTGTTCTGACTCTCCTCTTCCTCTTCCCCTTCTCCTTTATGCTGACTTTTCTTTAATTTCTTCTCTTCTTCAGCCCTCCTTTTTTCATCCTTTCAGATCCTGTGCCCCTTCTTGTTTATAGACTGCTGCTGGCTCACAGCTCTTATTTGTCTGTTTGAAGTCTGTGACTTTATTTCTTTAGAAAGGTGTGAATTTTACTGTCAATAAAAGATATATATCTATATATATTCACCATGTGAATTAATTTATGCATATTGGTTGATTTAGTAAATGAATGTAACGTATGTGCAAAGATTGGAGTCTAAGCCTGCTTTCATTTGTATAGGAGTAGAGCTAATGTTCTCACAAGTGACCTATCCACAATGCAAAGAAAAAGAAAGTACACGTTTGTTGTCCACCAAGGCAATATAAAATGTTCAGTAACTTGAAACAGATTTTGACAGATTTCTGCAAGGAACATTTATTAAATATACGGTAATCTGCAAAACAGTTTCCCAGGATGAAGAAACCTCACATAATGAACAGTGTGAATGCTCACTTCAATTATCCAATCATATGCAGAGGAAGTAAGGGAACAGGAATTTACTGTTCCCATGATTGGATACCAGAAGTAAATATTCACACAAATTATTGTGAACTCCTTTTAGTACATCAGCCTCTATGTTTGAATGAAATAACCATCACTTTTCATTAGTTACTCCCTGCCCACAATCTGTAGATTACATTCCCTAGCCTGATCGCCCATGTTGAGAGAGTGTTAATCTACGTTCCCTTTCTCAGCTATGAGTGTGTAGCTGTTAACGCTCCTAACTATGAGACCACACAGTCACTGACAGTTCCCAATCTTTACTAATGTTCCAGAACCAATAAGCATGGTTTGTTAGTAAACATACTGTATATAACCCCAGTTGTCACTGTATTTCTTTGTGCACAGAGAAAGGAAAACAATTGTGTTGTGTTCCATAGCGGGAGCTGCTAAAAAAAAAAACTTAGCTCACAAAACTTCCCCCTTTGTTCTTGGGTGGGTTGGGGGCAAGGCGGTGCATTGAAGTCAATGGCCCCGCAGCCATGCCCCCCGCCCGCAGTGCAATCGGACACATGGCAAAACATTGCCTGTGTTCCGTTCCACTGCAAGCGTGAATAATACTGCATGCTCTATTTTTTTGTGGTTGGGGGGGCGTGGCTGCGGTGCCATTGACTTCAATGCACCACCATGCCCCCTTCCGTCCCAATAGAGTTATTGTAAAGTTAACCATGCCATACTGATGCTGTTATCTTTGGTATGGGCATCCACCTTGAAAGGGTTAAAGAAAAACTCCCACCTGAACCTTTTATTTTTTATGCGTGAGGAAGGTTTAGATCATCTTTCAGGTTTTTGTGTCCCTATTGAGGAGAATCCTCTTTCTTTCTGTCCAGGTGGCACAACAGAACCTCCAAAGTGAGGTAAAATCCCACCTTTGACCGCTGTCATCGGTACTGGTGTTCCCACTGGGAGATTTCACCTCACCTCCTATATTCGGTGATGACTCTCAATGGATTACAACCCCCCCCCTTTGTTTATAGAGGAGGGGGGGGGGGTTGCAGTCCCATTTTAGGATGACGTGCACACAGCCTCCTAAGGTTTAGTAAATTACAATATATTTATTTTTATTTTTTTGGAGCTCATGCACACACAAGAAAACTATTTTTACTAGCACGTGATTGGGTATTCTAAGTGAACTCGAGTTCACATATTTAAAAAGGGAACAGCCTGTACTCATTTAGTAAATCCACTCCAATATCTATGTAATCTACAATATGTTGTCCATACAGTCAACACCCTAATAGGGAATGATAAATGATCATAGATCCAGTATATAGGCAGGATTTTTGGAATGGTCTCTCAAAACTTTATACATATCAACACAGCAGAGATCCATCATCTGTCATTTTTGCACTTCATTTATACCATGATTTTTCTTGTGTACCAGGAATTTTGGAAGTTATGGAAAAAAATACATTTTGGATCCACAAATTAGGCACAATGTAAGGGTAAAATGGCGGCCACGCATGCACAAAATCCCTATCTCCGAAGACAAGCCATAATATGCATACTCGTCCAACCAGAAGTGCGCGGGAAGACGTGCAAACGGCAGGTGCACAGGAAATTACGATGTATCTCAATAGGTGGCTATATAAAAACCAGCCTGACTGCACAACATTGCTGATGGTCTTCTCAGCTAGTGCTTCCTGTTTCCTGTTGATTTGCCTGTGACCTGTTTTGACCTGGATTATCTTGGACCATTCTGCTGCTTGCTGCCTGCCCCTGACCTTGGCCTGTTTCCTGGACTACACTCTTGCCTTATGATTCAGTACCTCGCTGCCCAGCTGGCTCTTACCCTTGTCTTTCTGGACCACGACTCCTGTCTCCTGAATCTGTTCCCACACTGCCGCCCAGTTTGACCTTTGGCCTGCTGACTTCGCTACAAGATATCTCCTGCACGGTGTCTGCTTCCATCCGTGTCACTCGTGCTCCTCGCTGTCCTGCAGCCTTTGTTCCAACTCCAGGGGTTGTAGGACTCGAGTCGCAAGAGAAGCCTCCTCGCCTTTTGGTCTCTGCCTCAGGTACATGATACACAGTCCAGATGAACTGAGCAAATTCATAAAATGGTTATAATATAGAGAGGACTTTCGGGGGCGGACTGCCAGCATGCGGCGACATTTTAGTTGGCCTATGTGTAGCCCAGAAACACAAGTTGTGCAGCCCGGCCCCACCAAATTATCACCCTGCCTCACCTGGTGCCACTGTGATACGGAAGACGCTGTGTGGAGCCTGCCAGCAGTGGGGATGGGTAAGAGGGAGGAGCTTGAGTCTTGGCGCTGTGCCCAGGACGCACACTACCTAAGGCCCCATTCACACTGATTTTGAGCGATATTGCGCGACGTGTCGCATTGGGCTGTATGCATTCAGGAGCAATATCGCTCGAAAAAAGGGTCATGTAGGAGCGACAAGCTACCAGCGACGAGCTACAAGCGATATTGAGCGACGAGATGTGAACAGCTCCATTGAAATGGATTGGAGAAGCTACATAGAGCGATATCGCGTGGAAATATGAGCGATATCGCTGCAAAAATCGCTCGATAAATCGCTCAGTGTGAATGGGGCCTAAGAGGAAAGCGTCTGTCAGTGGGTATGTCTGGGTGAGGGTGCCGCTGAATCCACTGAGGCCACCGGAGAGAGGTACAGAGGAGACAATCTTGTCACTATCTGTAAAGTTCAGGTCACTATCTGTAAAGGAGTTTGCATTCTCTCCCTGTGCTTGCATGGGTTTCCTCCGGGTACTCTGGTTTCTTCCCACACTCTAAAGATATGCTGGCAGGTTAATTGGCTCCTGTCTAAATTGGCCCTGTATGTGAGATGGGGACCTTAGATTGTAAGGTCCTTGAGAGCAGGGATTGATGTAAAGCTCTTTGTAAATTGACAACGCTATATAACCTTTAATAATAAATAAATAAAATTGTATATTTGAAATCTGGAAGTCAGTTGCTATATAGCTATCACGGGGGATATAACACAAGGATGTGTATTTGGCTCACTTACCAATATGCTTTATGTTTGTTGTTTTAGTTAATTTACCACTTTACATTAACACTGAATGTATGGAGAGATGATCCAGAACAGTTGATACACTTTTTAAACTGTTTCACTTAACCAGTTGACATCCGCGGTGTTAAACCCCCTTCCCATCCAGGCCATTTTTCAGTATTCAGCGCTGCGGTACTTTGACTGACATTTATTCCGTCATGCAGCGCTGTACTGAAATGAATTTTATACCCTTTTTTGGGGACAGATAGAGCTTTATTTTGGTGGTATTTATTCACCACTGGGGTTTTTATTTTTTTACTATATTAAGGAAAAATTACCGAAAATTAAGCGATTTGTGATTTTTGTGGTAATGTAGAGGTGCAGGGGGGATGTATATGTATGTGCATTGTCAGGAGTCAGAGGGCTGTTTTTCATACTTTATTTAATAGACTCTTTCACAGGCCAGAGTCCTAGAAATTCAAAATTCCCTCCACAGGATCTTCAATTGTCTCTACTGAGAGTAGAGTTCTGTTATCGGTAAACTGCAATCAGCTGATTCCTCTCTGCTCTGCTGACCCCTCCCCCCTCATGAACAAGCACAAACTCATCTCTGAGGAGAGAGCAGAGATGAGTCATCACACTCACATGCCTCATAGCTGTCTGTGAGGGAGATCTCCTGTCACTGTGTTCTGTGTGTTATGAAGAATCTCCTGCACATGTGCCTCTAGACCTTCTCTCTGTGTCCTATGTGTCTCTCTCAGATCTCTCCCTCTCATGGGTCAGATTTACTCTCTCTGCTGCCCCAAGTCCAGGATCCTCCATGTGCCCCCCCCACCATCAGGCTGGGTTCACACCATTTTCCGGACCAGATCTGGAACATAGTGCATTGCGTTTTTACTGCGATTGGATATTTTTTTTTTTTTTAAATGTCAGCTTAAAATGGTCTTACAGGTGTGTTTCAGTGCGTTCCATGAATTTTTGATGCGTTCCAGTGCATTCCGGACCAGACAAAATAGGACAAGAAGTATTTTTCTGGCCTGGAACGGACTGCGCTGGTGGGAACAGAGGCCAGAAATAACATAGGGATACGTTGGGATGCATGTTGGGTCCGGAAACAGTCTGGTCTGCTCTGGAGTTAATCTGGATGTGGTGTGAATGGCCCCTACTGATGACTGTTAGAACAGAATTCGGAGCAGTTGCTCATGGCAACCAATCAGCTTCTCTCTTCAGTTTGCTCAGGTAAGATTTGAAAATCAGAGATAGAGATGCTGATTGGCTGCAGTGCAAATTTGCTCCAGATTTTGTCTGCTCCAATTTTGATAAATCCCCCCACTGTCTCCGGGGATGTGTGGGGTCACCGGGGATGTGCGGGGTCACCGGAGATTGGTGTCACCAGAGATGTGCAGGGTCACGGAGATGTGCGGAGTCACCAGGGATGTGCGTGGTCACCAAAGAAGTGCAGTGCCACCGGAGATGTGCAAGGTCACTGAGGATGTGCTGTGTCACCGGAGATTGTTTGGTGTCACCGGAGAAGTGCAGTGCCATCCGAGATGAGCGGGGTCACCGAGCATGTTCGGTGTCACCAGAGATTTTTTGGTGTTACCGGAGAAGTGCGGTGTCACCGGAGATTGGTGTCATTGGAGATTGGTGTCACCGGAGA